TTGTCTGTTGTATATGCTTTGATTTTATTGCTGTATTAGGTTGTCCAGGCTTGGCCCCATGTAACCCGCTCCGAGTCCCCATCGGGGAGATGGTGGCGAGGTAGAAATAAAGATGATGATGATTATGATGATTATTATTATTATACATGAAGCTGATTGGTTGGACTATGCCTAGGAGCAGGCTGAGCCTGGGACTTTTGGATACTGTTACATTTTGTTCGGGCTTGAGCTATGCAAGTGCTTGGAGCAGCAGAGAGAGAAGCAGAGAGCGACAGTGTTTGGAGTGTGGTCTCGCTTCATGAGTTGCTGAAGGAGTTTATCTACACGGACAAAGAAAGACAATTTTAAATCTCTCATAAAAGGGCATTATGTGAGTTGATACAACTGATCACATTGTACATATGTTGTTCTGAGCTACGAAGAGTAACCTACTTGTTCTTTATTGTTCATTTGCATGGCATACTTTCTCTGGCAAGGCAGTGTGTGGGCTGATCAAACGTGAACTACACATGGTTTATTTTACATTACGCCACAAAGTTCAACAGGGACAAATGCAAGTTACTCCACTTAGGCAGTTTTCTTCCGACCAGTTGATAAGCAATATTGTTTGGAGTTTTGTTTTGTATTTACTTCTATAGTTCTAGAGTTAAGAGTTGTTAGAATGGTCCAGCATTTCTGTGTTCTCAAATAATATGCTATGTCCAGGTTGGTTCATCAGCAGAGCACCTGATGAGCTAACCTGGACACAGCATATCATTTGAGAACACAGAAATTCTGGACCACTTTAACAACTACCATGTCAGGCTACTTAGAGAAGCCATTGAAATCTACAAGCATGTGACAATTTCAACAGAAAGGAAGAAACCACGAAAATAAACAAAATCTGGCTACCAGTACTAAAAAACCTCTAAAATTATAGCAGTAAATAAAAAACAAAACTCAAACACAGGGGAACTCCTGACAAGAAACAATCAGGAACACCTAATCACCTCTCAACAAAGGAGCAACAAGCCACACCTAAAAACTGTCAGGCCATCAAATGCAAATCAAGGTGGCCAGTTGAAACATTTACACCTACCTCCAACAGAAAAGAGTTCTTTCTCCAACCCCTGACCTCCCAATTTTCCTAGTTTCCCAATTTTCCGTTTCCAACAAACCTCACAACCTCTGAGGATGCTTACGATAGATGCAGGTGAAACGTCAGGAAAGAATGCTTCTAGAACATGGCCATACAGCCTGAAAAACCTACAACATCCCAATATTGGATCCAATAGGTTCCCAGTTTTATAAGTTTGAAACCATTCTCACTCAGGTTTTTGCTCATCTTATAATTGAACTAGCCATCCCCTGCCATGTTGCTGTGGCCCACTCTGTGTATATGTGTTTTGTGTATGTGTATATGTGTGTGTATATATTTGTGTATGTGTGTTTGTGTAAATATATGTATGTGTGTGGTTTTGCACGTGTTGTATTTTTTGGCTTTTAAAGTCTCTTCTGCTGTGTTTTTCCATGTTTTATGAGTGATGGTCACTCATTGGCCTGATAGGTGTATTGTGTCCAAATGTGATGTCAATTCGTTCAGTGGTTTTTGAGTTATGTTAATCCCACAAACGAACATTACATTTTTATTTATATAGATAGGGGCTGGGCTTAACACAGGCTAAACCACTGGGCTGCAGAAAAATCCTGCTGATTGGAAGGTCAGCAGTTTGAGCCCGGGTCGGGGTTGAGCTCACGCCGTTAGCCTGAGCTCACCTGCCGCTTTTAGAGGTGAGATAATAAAGGCGCCCTTAAAGACATCCATAGGAGGAAAGCTCAGCATGGAAGATAGAGCGACAGCACCCACACACTCCTGTGGCCGAGTTGAGCACAGCCTCCAAGACGCCGGAAATAAGCCGGGGAAGACTGCGTTTACCTCTGTGTTGTCTGTCCTTGTCAAGAACCATACATTATATGTATATGACAGTGGGCACATTTAAAAAATGACAATCTTTGTAATTTGTCATTCTTCTCAAATTGTCCTTTTGTTTCAAGCATGTCTTGGCATGCACAATTAAGGAAACTAAAGTGTTAATCTGTAATGAAGTTTATTCTTAGGTTGCAAGGAAGTAACACAGCTTGTTCTTGGGGTACTGCTTATCAAGAACAGTCATATCCGTGATATTTTTTTCTCAGTAGGATATATATCAGGCATGGGAAAACTTTGGCCCTCCAGGTGTTTTGGACTTCAACTCCCACAATTCCTAACAGCCGGTAAGCTGTTAGGAATTGTGAGAGTTGAAGTCCAAAACACCTGGAGGGCCAAAGTTTGCCCATGCCTGATATCTAACCATAATTTGTGACATGTGTCCAAGACCTGAGTGATGGATGACTTCAGATGATCCACCAGGAATATAATTTCACACCCCCAAAAATTGTCCTGCTTAGAATTACTCTTTCAACTGATAGGCATCTTTACAAATGATAGATGGAGAAATTTACCAATTCATCTCTGCTGGCTTTCAAAAATATATGTAATATTTGGATGCTTTAAAAAAGAATCTCATTGCAACTGTATTTTAAGCCCTGCTAAAATGTAGTTCAGTGGTCCTCAACCTGTGGGTCCCCAGGTGTTTTGGCCTACAGCTCCCAGAAATCCCAGGCAATTTACCAGCTGTTAGGATTTCTAGGAGTTGAAGGCCAAAACATCTGGGGACCCACAGGTTGAGAACCACCAATGTAGTTGAATTTTATGTAAATCACCAAAAGATGTATGCAAAATAGGAATATAAACTTTTACAACGAATATTTTTTAAAATATCGAATGTGTGATCTCTATGTTACTATTATAATACAGACATTGTGTTGTATGCCCTTCTATGGTACGATGCGGATGCAGGATATAGAAGACTTTGTGGAATTTTCTCCACATTTACCATTACAGCGTTTTGTAGATGAGACTTATTCCTTGATTGATACCTTACCTGTGGAATGCCGGAGACATGTTTCCATGTTCTGGTTCTGTCTCTCTCCAATATCGGAAGAGGGACTGTCTGTGCCACAGAGCTGTTGTCAGAGTTTACTGGATTGAATGGTATAAAAGTAGCTTCTATGCTGGTGAAGTGGATTCATGATTTGGGCCCAATGGCTTATGGGGTGACGATGTTTGGAACACAAGATGTAAAAATGGGAGGCGTTGTGACAGATCATGATTATATTCCTGAAAAATCATGATCAAAATTTCACTCTAAAATGCTGTATGAAGTATCACTCCATTTCAATATTCACTGGGGAAAAGGGCTAAAATATTTGGGGGAAAACAAAGCACATCATTATCTTTTCTTCCTAGTTTCCATCGTTTAGTGCAGGTATAGGCAAACTTGGGCCCTCTGGGTGTTTTGGATTTCAACTCCCACAATTCCTAACAGCCTCAGGCCCCTTCCTTTTCCTTCTCAGCCACTTAAGCAGCTGAGGATGTTAGAAATTGTGGGAGTTGAAGTCCAAAACACCCAGAGGGCCCAAGTTTGCCCATGCCTGGTCTAGTGATATTTAACATGCTTTGAATGAATCCAGTCAGGTCTCAATGCTGTTTCCTTCCCTGCTTTTCCTGTCAACATAATGATGAAAAGGAAGGTGGTGAAACAGCACCAACTATTGCTGGAAACACTCAGTACTCTAAAAATCCATTTTGCCAAATAACCATGTTGGGTTAAGATGTTACTTCAGTATCCCAAGGATTGGTTTTTAAAACAATAGCATCTTTACAATTTATTATTCATACAAAATTCCTCAAGTTGTGAGACTTGATTGCAGGAAGTCAGCAGAGTAATTCAAATGGTTTTGAATTACATGTTTGCAAAAACATCCCTCTTCAACTAATAAAACAAACAAACAAACTCAATTTTTAGCTTTCCAAAAAAAAGTTGCGTAACTTTAAACCCTTCAATGAAAATATTCCCTTACATCACCTCAGAAATAATTTTCTTTCCAAAATTGAAAACCAAATAACCTGTTTCCCCGAAAATAAGACAGTGTCTTATATTAATTTTTGCTCCCAAAGATGTGCTAGGTTTTATTTTCAGGGGATGTCTTATTTTTCCATGAAGAAGAATATTCACATTTATTGTTCAACAAAAAAGTGAACATTTATTATATACTGTACACTAGTAGTTGTCAGTATATAATAAATATACTGGCCCTCACACACAGGGCTGTAAAGTACCTGGCTCCCACACACCGTCTGGAGACTGCAACAATCTCCCACAGCAGTTCCTGGACCACTCTACTAGGTCTTATTTTCAGGGAAACAGAGTATCTGCACATACAGTAGATTCTCACTTATCCAACCTTTGGCTCATCCAATGTTCTGTATTATCCAACGCAGTCTGCCTCCCACCCAGATCCACAGCTGTTTCAATACATTGCCATGTTTGGTGCTAAATTAGTAAATACTGTAATTACTACGGAACGTTACCATATATTGAACGGCTTTTTCTGGCCTATTTATTGTAAAATGTGATGTTTTGGTGCTTAATTTGTAAAATTATAATGTAATTTGACGTTTAATCGGCTTTTTCTTAATCCCTCCTTATTATTCAATATTTTCGCTTATCCAACGTTAATGTTGGATAAGCGAGACTTTACTATAGTATCAAAAAGACTTTCACAATTAAAGAGGTGGAATAGAGACGCATCCTGCTCAATAGTGAAGATGCAAATATGTGACCCTAAAACTCTTAAGGTGGTTTTCTTATTAGAAATGATAGTGTCTTTATTTGTAGCTAATGCACACATTAGACATTGTGAGTAATTCTTAAAGATAAGAAAAAATTATCATGGCTGTTTAAAGTCAGACATTCCTGAAAGAGGTGACAGATGCAAATTTCTCTTGGATCATGACAATTAATTGAACAGGATGTTCAAATAAATAAGTGGAAAAATAAAGGTAAGTGTTAGATTGAAATGGCTCAAATTACTGCAAAATTAAGGCAACTGAAGTAGAGACAAAAGAAAACACAGAATTGAACAGCGAGCATTGAAGCTTTATGGATTTTTTTGTATTAAAAATAAAAACAAAACAAAGAGAAAAGTTGTTAAAAATAAGACTTGTGTTTACCAGGCCACTAAACTGCATAAACTTAAGAGACAGACTAACAGAGGCAGTATGAAAATAAGACACACACACACACACACACACACTTCTCTCTCTCTTTCACTCTCTCCCCATACAATGGGCAGCCCAAATTCATTTAAAAACACTGCCTTCTTCCAGCAACTTTAACAAGCATCTCAAACATTTCCATTCAGATAAAGCTTTATAGAAAGTGAATTTTAATGGGGTGCTATGTGCGCATGCATTGCACACACACACAGACACACACACTTTTGTTACATACGCTTGCTTCATCTTTTCACCAAAGGAAGATCTCTCTCTTATATAAGAGATGATAACCTTTTTTGTTTTTCTCAAATCACATATTACATTCCTTGCCAATAGTTTGCTTTCTGGTTTGGTTTGTCTGCCGTCTATCCCACCCCCAATCCCTTCCCTCCCAGGCTTTACGAGATAATAAAATACATTTGGCACTAAACTCAAAAAGGATTTTGGCTTTTGTAACAATAATTAAGGCTCACATTTTATACTATTATTATGTATGTATACTTCTGAAACCTCTGACTTTACCTCTGAAACCCCCGCAATAGGCACTAGCTAAAATTCATATACTGGCAAAGGTGTATTTCTGGGTCAGACATTGCCACCGGTTCCAAATGCTCACAAGGCCGTTCCTCCTTAAACGTTTTAAAACGGGTAGTTTGGTAATTTACATCGGCTTAACTTCAGGCATAAGAGGCTGCGATCCAAAGCAACTTATTTATAGTTGTGAGAGGGAATGGCACACATGGTCAAAGTCTCCTCCCAAACAAGGAGGCACATTGGGTTTTGTACTGAGACATGGCTTGGCTCTCAACGATCCCATTGGGAACTACAGCAATAGAAACCAGGACGAAGAGCATGTTGTGCTCTTCCCTTTACTATTACATGCAGCAGGGCTGAAGTGTGTACTCTGTGAAGGACGATGCAATAGTTCCCATTCTAGTAGGGAAAGAGGCATCGCTGTCATGCAGATAAAGCATGGGCAAACCTTGGCCCTCTAGGTCAGTGGTTCTCAACCTGTGGGTCCCCAGGTGTTTTGGCCTACAACTCCCAGAAATCCCAGCCAGTTTACCAGCTGTTAGGATTTCTGGGAGTTGAAGGCCAAAACATCTGGGGATCCATAGGTTGAGAACCACTGCTCTAGGTGTTTTGGACTGTAACTCTCACAATTTCTAACAGCTGGTAGGCTGTTAAGAATTGTGGAAGTTGGACTCCAAGACATCCAGAGGGCTGAAAGGTGTCCATGCTTGATTGTAGGGGAATTAATTTTCTCACTGTAGCTTTAATTCAAAAATTATCTTTCTTATGCCCCCTAATACACACAGGTCTTAAAGACACATCTGTAAAAATTATTGGATGTTCTATAATGGGACCTTTCTCTAAGGGAGATGTCCTGTGAAAAACAAACACTAAAGCACAAGAAGCATTTTAAAAATTATTATTATATTAAGTCCCACCCACCCTTCATTTTTCAGCATGGGGCAAAGTGGTGGCTTGAGGAATATAGGCTAACACTGTTCTAGACGTGTTATTATAGCTGTAATTTTTGACCGTGTACAAATTTGTACATGTATGTTTAGAAGACACATGAAAAAGTAATATGCTCACAAAGACATAAAACACCTATGTATAAAATATAAAGCAGTGAAGTAGTTACTAAAATTACATGCTCTTATTGCTACAGTGATTTTTGCTCTCTTTTTGTTTTACTGTACCACATGTTGTTCTAAGCATATAATTTGCATAAATTATTCAAGTTTAAGAAAAATATCCACACATCTTCACTTTAAGCTACTTATATAGTTAATATAAAACAAAGTTTTAAGGTATCTCTTTATTGAAAGAGAAATAAAATGTCATTTTGAAACTGAAATTCAGTGGCCAAATCCAGAGGCAAGGTATATGTTGTCACTATGGGGATCTTATGCCCATTATAGAAATATCGTAAGGTGGAAAGGTATCTGACCCAGCATGAAGATGGCCAATGAGGCCTGTGCAATGCCTGTATATTTGTTTTTTTTTGTTCCATTTTTTGTCTTTTTGCACACAAAAAAGACTATGAATGACAAAGACTAACATGTATAATTTGTAGCAAAATTTGGTTTATGTAGAAACAAGCCATGTTTTGCATTTGGATAGAGATTTAAATGAGTTAAAGCTAAAAATTAAAAAGCATGATGCTGCAACATCTGGTCACTTGTTGTAGACCTCACTTTTAAAGTGGTTAAGTTTGCACGATTTGTACTTTTTTTAATATACTAAACAGTATTTTTCTCTCCTTCTTTTATAAACCAGAAAAAAACCCTAAACTACAGATAAATTTTCCCTACCTTGAGCAAATGCTGCTGATAGGGTTGACAAAGCTGTACAGCGCAATCAAACATACTTACATCTTAGCTCATTGCACAGGTACAGCCATAATCAAGGCACAAAGATCTTCTACAAGTTATTTTTTTCAATAAAGTTGTACAAAATAATACATTTTACAGTCTGTACAAGAATAATAATCCAGCAGTAAAATAAAAATTGGGAAGAAAAGAGGGTGGGAAGAGGGAATTGGAGGGCAGGAAGAGAAGAGAAAGAAGGGTAGAGTGTGAGGACTACAGTCCAGATAATGATTTGTTTTTATATATATATTTATATTATATATATAAATATAAATATATATATATATAGCAGACAGGATCATCAGTGGACAAACTGAAAACAGTGTGTGGTTAACTCTTTCTGCAATCACAAGCCATAATGCAGTTCATTTTGCAACATCCCCGGTCATCTTAAGACCGCCAAGGTTCAACAACACCTTTCTGAAGGTAGCAGTTGGTTTTGTACTGTCTAGGTTTCTTGTAGAATTGAATTGTCAGTCTTTCCACTCAAAAAGTCACATTCAGAGGCAGAGGACCAAACTCAAGCTCCTGTCCTTTCAACTTGGTCTGTGACTTGGCACCTTCTTTTAGTCTGATGCAGTGAATAGATACAAAGTTGAAATCATGGGATATATGATTGACGCCCACAGCAGTGCTAATTACCTAACATTGTCTCTCCCGTTTCCTTCGTTGGCTTTTTAATAGTTAACTTTCACTCCCAAATCCTCTCAGGCACTCCACCTTCAGGGCGTTATTAATTTTGTTTGTTTGTTAATGACAGTGTTAAGAGAAACCTACCCCCTCATTGCAGAAATGGCCTCTTACATTGCACAGGCCACTTACAACTGTTCCAAGGGGGTGAAACAAGCAAGCTTAGAAGTGCTGCTATTTGTCCAGCAAGGAGAAAAGGTCGAGGGATGCAAATCAGAGGGAGATTGCAATAGTTCTCTTCCACCCTATGTGGACTAGGGTTTTTTTTCTTTTTAATAAGGAATAAGGAGTCCAAAACAGAGAAATGCTCTCCATCACAACAACTCATACTGGCGAAGGTGCATCCGTTGAATAATGTCCCGACAGTCATTGAAAACCCTCCGAATGTTTTCTGTATCCACTGCACACGTGAAGTGAGGATAGCAGTAGTGCCTTCCATCTCCACTTGCTGTGCTGATTCTCTGCAGGAGCAACAGATACACAGACGAGGTCAAAACAGGCAGACAACTCTTAAAACAGAGTAATTGTGGGAAAGAATAAATAATCGACAACTTCTGGAATACTGTAATATGAACTGCCCTTCTTATCTCATGTGTTCTCTAGGCCTCTCCATCAAGTTTTTAGAATTTAGTTCTTTCAGCATGGCAGAAGTTGACCACAGTGTCGCACTGGAAGAGCTAAAGCAGAGCCTTCCAAACTGTGTGTCGCGACACATTAGTGTGTTGGCTGCAGTGTTCCTGGTGTAAATATAACAAGAAACATCTGAGTCTATGTGAAATAAGCAATACACCATATATTTTAATATACATGAAAGGTTTTCATGGAATGTTGTGTCCCCAAACATTTTTCTATTAAAATGTATGTATGTTTCCCTATCTCATGACTACTTGGATTGCTTATGCAGTCAGGCTGATCCAGGCAGTTATTGAATCTCTTTTTGAATGAAAACAAAAATGTACTTGTTCTAAAACAAGTTATCGCAAAGAACAGAAAAACAAGTATGAGGAAGCCATACTTACAAGAAATTCATCTCTAATAAAATACTTGGCCCTTGTAACTCTAGGATCCTCACCAGGTTCCGGTGTTGCTGCTCAATTAAAAAAAGAATGACAGTTATCTTAAAATAGGAATTCATGTCAATATCTTCTTTTGCATCCACAGCAACACAATGGGAAATATCTCAGTGCGCTGCAAATCCAGTGTACGAGGTGTTTCAGAAAGATGAACCCAATTTGAAATCACTCTCTCTCTCTCTGCAACCACAAACAGAATTCACACTGCCTGAAAGGTAAAAGTTCCATTCCAAAGTATTACTGCTAAATGCGTCTCCCCAGCCCCCAGCCTCAGTCATTTGCAAGATGGCGACTCAATAACATAAGGAGTTATTTTGTAGATTTCTTTCTCACTCAAAATGGTTAGTAAAAATTGGTAACTCAAACCATTTGTAACTTGTTCGTGTAGTTGTAACATGTTGCCATTGTGAAATATACTCCTTTGAAATTAGGCCCATCATTTTGAAATACCCTATATTTTGTATTACTCTACAGAAACAGGAGGAACAGGGCAGATACCTACAAACTCTAAACGTGGGTAGACCCTTTGCAAAAAGGAATATTTTTGTAGAGTGGACAGCTAGAAAGGGTTTCTTTGGACATGGAGAGCACTTTTCTCATAGATTTTGGCAAGGAAAAACAGCTTTTATTGAATAAAATAAATAAATAAATGCTGTTTAGGGTTGAGCAGCTGTTGTTCTCAAGATTAACAGAATAGAATTACTTTATTGTCATTGTACACTGTACAACGAAATTATTGTCATTGTACACTGTACAACGAAATTAAATGCTTTCCCCAGCGCACATCACAAAACAACACACCCATCCCTCCCCATTCCAGCCATCACCGCACAGCCCCCAATCCTGTTAGCTGCCTTGAAGAAATGTGATCTAACAATTCTCAAAGATGAGAGAAAAGTTAAAATAATTAAATTATGAACCAATTAAATAATGAAGGAAGTAACTGCAGGGCTCCCAAGGGGAGAAAAACCCTAATTCAGTTCTTCTTTTCTTCCACACCCCCCCCCCCCCCCCAAATGTAAGGTTTGCTTAGTTAATGTGTGTTGAACATCAAACTCCTTACCATCTTCTGGTGTGGTATAGCGAGCAAATTCTGGAAAGTAGTCTTCGATTTTAGATTTCCCTGCCAAAACTTTCTCTGCTAGCAAATCCTGTTTGTTCAGGAAAAGAATGACTGAAATGGTCCGTAGCCACCTACAGAAAACGACATCAAAACTCTGTTAAAAATGTGAAAAAAACCAACCATGTAAAAGAGGTATAAAGCACGGGGCCTAGTTTAGGAGTTGGGGGCAACCGCACCACAGACAAATGATGCCAGGAAGTATCATTGCCTGCCATGACTAGGTAGGTATTTGGCTGGTTTTGTTCTCATTCCTCAGCAGTGTGTGGAGCACAAGATAAGCAGAAACCTTTTTGTTATATGCAGTCAATAATTGCAGAAGAATGAGGATTCCCTTCCCTGCTACAATTCAGGAAGCAAACTTGGAAGAAGAGCAGAGCTGAGCTGCCCAACAGGGACAGGCATGCACAAAAAATATAATTAGTACAATCCTTATTTTACTAAACTGATGCATACTCCCTTCTATTTAACATTAAACACGATTCTAGCATTTTATACAAGTTGAAATGAAAATGAAAAGGATGGACCTGTTGTTCCAGATGCTCTTGAAAAGGTTTAATGCTTCTTGAAGCCGGTTGGTCTGATTGTCTTCTCGTATAACCATGTTGTAGCTACTGCTGGCCACCACAAATATAATAGCAGTCACATCTAAACAAACAAAACAAGCATCAAGAATACTATATAACCTTAAAGACTGTCCTCGTCCATCTTATTATGTTACTTTTATTATTCTACTTTCTAAAGTGAAAAAAATAATCAGGAGAACCTTGGAAAGAATGATGATGACGCAATATAAGGTCTCCTCTGCACATTGGGGAGGTCAGAATATACAGTAAAAATTACACAAGGAGAAGAAGAAACAAGGTCAAAAAACAAGTATGTGCAGAGCTGAAGAAAATAAATATGCTGATGAAAAGGATAAAGCATAGTAGTTAAAATAAAGTTCTAATGAGCAAAGAGAAGAGAGAAAGCAAAGATATGTGTTGTTGAAGACTTTCATTGCTGGAATCACTGCGTTACTGTGAGTTTTCCGGGCTGTATGGCCACGTGGAATGCTTCTGGAACATGGCCATACAGTCTGGAAAATTCAAAGTAAAGCAAAGATACCTCTTAGAGGAGATATTCCTTTTTTGTACTACAGATATTGATAGATAGCAGACCCTTTCAAACATCATGTGTTCCTTCCTGTCAAATAATCTCGAAAGTAGTATTTACTGGAGATGAAAACAGAAAAAGTACTCTCCTCTCCTTCTTCAATGGACTGCAATAGAGGTTTGCTGATGTGCAAACTGTCTCAGTGAAGCCATGTTTCAGCTAGCAGACATGCAACAAGCAGTTAACTGAAGTACTGTGTCCTATGCATGGAGGATATATGTAATTTAATAGACTCAAATCTTCATTATGCTCTGGTTTAATGCATGCTGAATCTTACCATTAAAACACTGGATCCATTTTCGGCGTTCATCTCTTTGCCCACCAACATCAAACATACTATAAAAAAAATTAGAACTGTCAGCAGCATACTGGAGTTTTCCTTATTTTACCTATATGCATCTAACTCAAAGAAAGACAACCAGTGAAACAAGTTCCAGTGTTCTCACTCCTACAATCAGTCTAAAAATGCCAGAATTAGATGGCATGCAACTATTTACAAGGGACGTGAAGAGCTGAAAGTGCTATTCCAAGTAACACACAAGTTGAAAGATAAAAACTGAGGCATATTTTGTGGTTGTTCAAAAGCAACACACACAAAAAACGGATTTGTAAATTTCAACTTGAACAAGGACAAAACCCAGAAAAAAAAGCTAATTCAAAGCTAGAATGACCTTGTACAATTGTAATTTCAACCTCCATACTTCCACCTGATAGTTTGCAATTATTACATGAGAAATGTGGTTGAATAAACTGGATTTATGTTATATTTAATCTCCATTCTGAACTTAAGCACCACTTTTACTCAAGTGTGCTGTGCACCTTCATGCCATTTCCAACTTATGGGACCCAAGGCAAATCTACCACAGGGGTTTCTTGCAAAAATCTGTTCAGAGGGGGTTGTCATTGCCTTCCTCTGAAGCCTAGATTTGGTCAAGGTCCAGTGGGTTTTCATGGTTAAGTGGGAATTTGAAGCCTGGTCCTACAGAGCCCTAGCTCAAGGCCCAAACCACTACACAATGCCAGCTCATGCTTTTACTTACTGGAAATTTACTTTGTCCACTTGAAACTTGGTTTCAAATATTCCTGATGTCAGAACTCTGCATCTGAGAAGATCCTTTAAAAAAGAAGAGGAAAATAAATCAGTTATTACAGAGCCCTCTAATTTCAAAACGGTTACTTCTGGAAAGTATACAGGACTTAAGGAGGAATTGTTCTGCATAATCTTGGTGGGGAAAGACAGTAAGCAGCATCGTTAGTTACTGTTTGGTTTCCACTTGTACACTAGGTCTGCATACTATGAAAGGGATCCTTTCTAGTGTAATTTGCAAAATATGATTTTTGTGTAACATGGAACCCAATATTTTTGTTGAAATGAATTCTGTCTTTGGGGTTCTGGTTGAAGCATACCATAGAATCACCCAGAGATTCTGTACCCGGAGAAGCGTCGTCTATAGGCCTCCAGTGCAATTCTATGGCCAGTTTCTGTTATGCTGAAAGCCTTCTCTAGCAATTTCCTAGGTCCTCCAGAGAGATCCTATGGTATTAAAAGTTCTCAATATATAAATGAAACAGAGTTCAACAGATTCTTTTGCAAAAGAAAACACAAACTATTGCAACAGTAACAAAAGTAAAAGTAAAAGCAAAAACTCCAACGCATATGCGATAAAACTACAAGAATAAAATGTTATCAGCATTAATAGCCCTAATCTTAACTATAACAAATCCACCGAATCAAAAGAATTTCCATTAAGCATTGACTCACCACTCACAAATTGATTCAATGGGTCTACTTTAATATCTCATCTGGTTTTGAAGGCTTTCAGCAAAAAAAAAAAACCAAAAAAAAAAAAACCCAAAAAACTTCTGAAAGCTTTTTTTTAAAAAAAGCAAGAATTGCTGTAGTGAGCTCAATCAGATGGATCCCGTGTCTGGATTAAATTTTAGCTCATCTTTAGTATTATATATGAGTAACGTGATACCACAAAAAGAATGTAAGAATGTAGCATATGTGCACATACACACAGAGAGAAAAAATGAGAGTGAGATGTGCAAACAGATCTCCATTACTAATAGTATGATTTTTCTTAGTACTTATTGATTACAACTGCAGAGATTAAATACATCATTGCACAAACGAAGAAAATCCATAAATAAATAAATAAATAAATAAATAAGGTAGTCACAAGAAGAGGTGAAATTTAAAACTAGACAGGAAATGCTCATGTATAAGTCAACCTCATGTGCAAACTGAGGGCAGGTATTGAGGTCAAAATTATAGATGTTGAGATGACCCATGGATAAGTTGAGGGTCATTCTACTGAGAATACAAAGTGTCAGGGCTGCCTCGGGGACCAAATGTTCTTGACTGCAGCCATCATTTCCCCATCTAGACATTAAAAAAGGCCAGAAGCTGTTCCGTGGAGGAGAGGATAGAGGAGGTCAGCAGCTCTTTTAGGTTCTCCCAGAACAGACTCTAAGCTCTTGCCTCTTGCCCCTCAATTCAGAGAAGAGGACTGTTCCTTTTTTAAAATAAAAAGAATAGTGAAGATGCCGTACTCATACTGACCCACGGAAAAGTCATTCCAGGCTTTTTGGGTTGATTTTTAAATTAAATTTTCCAGACATATACATGGGTATACAGGGCAAACATATTTCCTCACCTGGTCAGATGGTGTATAGTCATTTTGCTTGACTATGTCAATCTTGTCTAGAAAACTAGAAAGAAAAAAAAGTCTCCTTGGTAAATCTGTCATAACTAAAATTCATTTATATCTTAAATATAGCATTTTCAGGGATTCATTGACTTTTATCAAATACTTTTATAATCTTTGAATTTTATATTTTGATTTTTCTATAGGCCAAGAAAAGCTTGCATTAATGTATGTAGTGTACTTAGTACTGTCATCCAGCAGAGGGCCAAGAACATGATCTTTAACACCACAGAACTCAAATAGCCACGGTAATGAATGATAAGCTATAAATAAAGCCAAATTCAACATTATATCATCACATTAAGAAATTAGACACACATCACATGTAGAAATAAGCACATATCATGTATTTAGACATCCTTCTATCTGATTAAGGGAATAGGATTCGTACTTGAGACACCTTCCTTCGTAAATCACCAAACAAACATGGCAATCAAAATTTGGAGCATGTTTTACATAATAATAGATGCCAATCCACTAGGACAGAGAATGTCAAGGCACACAAAGAGGCAAACCCATAACTGTGGAAGGCCCTATCCTTAATTCGAATCAGTGTTATGGGTTGGGAATAAGTCTAAGCAGCAGTAATCCTAAATTACTGGCATGCATATAAAAAAAGTTAGCTTCATCATCTTTAGGGTACTTTCCCTACACATAGGAAGCATCAGCTTTCAATACACTTAACTTCAAAGAACCTGGTTACTAGAATAGTCTATAATGTAGATACGTATAGGTTTCTCCTCCATACACACTAAATATCCCACAACTGCTATTGAGATACATATTTAGAATATTTATATACATGACCTGCCATTCCAACCGAAAGAGAGAAACAGAAAAGGGAATGAGAGTGGGGAAAGCACAAGGAATAAACAATGAACATGTTGGAGAGACAGAAAATGTTTGCCTAAATTGCTTTTTAAAGGGATGTGAATATATACAAGTAATCACAGGCAAGAACTGATTGCTACTAAGTAGAGTATTAAAAAATAATTCCTGCTTTTATAGATAGGACTGTTTTTGGCATGATGCTAAACTATGGTATTTATATGGGTGAACTTGCCTTAGCCTCTATCTTCCAATATCTGCCAACCAGACCCACAGCAACACATTTTAAAACTGTATTATGATTCTCTATGGTCTCATCTACACTGTTATATAACCTAGTTTCAGAATGCAGATTAATTGCATTAAAGTGGTGTATATGGCAGTGTAGACTCATATAATTCAGTTCAAATCAGTTAATCTGCATTCTGAAACTGGATTATACTGAAGTGTAGATCCAGCCTATGATTCCAACATATGCAGGAAATAGTTGTGTGATACTTGTCAGTGGAGCACAATGTGAAAAAAAATCAGGTTACTCATCCAATGCCCCAGAAGCCAACACAGAAAAGTTTGTTTATTTATTTGCCATACTTGTACCCCGCCCTTCTCTACCCCAACAGGGGGGACTCAAGGTGGCTTACAGTGGCACATACATCGTGCCTCAACAATTACCTTTTTAAAAAAAATTGCAACATATTACAAAAAGTAACATAACAAAGCTTCCACCAAAATTCTCTGGCTCAAGCATTCTGAGTAACGAAAGTGAGGCTTGCAAATAAAAAAATTATAGCAACCCAGTCTTGCTTTTTTTCCAGGAAACCTTATTCTACTATCACTCCAGTAAATTGGTATGATTCCCATGCCCACTGGACACACTAATTCTTCATGAGGCTAAAGCAGTGGTTCTCAACCTGGGGTCCCCAGATGTTTTTGGCCTTCAACTCCCAGAAATCCTAACAGCTGGTAAACTGGCTGGGATTTCTGGGAGTTGTAGGCCAAAAACATCTGGGGACCCCAGGTTGAGAACCACTGGGCTAAAGGTATCTCACCTCATTCATTAACATTTTGGAGCTCTCCCAAGCATTCTGGTACTTGGATAGAATGTTACTCCATCTAGATGCCATGCTGAAATACTACCCATATATAGCTACATTCATACAACTACTAAAATGCATGTTTTTTCCCCAGTGTTAGTTAACAGTAGTGGTGCAACAGTCATGTTGTTGCTTGTGGAAGAGGAGTATATACTTAAAAGGGTTAGTTTACAAGTAGGTTTCACTTCAAAATCTTTGAGAAGAACTTGTCCTTTGAGAATCTCAGGTGTTGAGATTTTGGCTTTTCTGCTGCAACAGCTATGCTTTGTTCCTTTAAATGGTTTTCCAACTTAAGGCGACCCTAAGTCAATCCAATAATAATAATAATAATAATTATTATTATTTATATTCCGCTCTATCTCTCCAAAGGGACTCAGGGCGGATTGCAAACATAAAAGGCAAACATTCAATGCCTGAACACAACAACAATACATCCATACTAACAAAATTTATACAACCCAACATATAAATGTGAATTATGACTAAACTTATGGTCTTGTTGGGAGGGGGGGGGGTGTTCATATGGGGGTTTGCTTTTGCCTTTCTCTGTGGCTGAGAGTCTGTGACATGACCAAGGATTTCCATGGGTGAGCAGGAGTTTTAAGCATGTTCTCCAGAGTTGTAATCCAACACTAAACCACTATACTATACTAGGCTATATGCATATGTGTGCGTGTGTGTGTGTGTGCATGCTATATACTACTGGTCTCAAAAAGTTAATCTGTTTTTTTAAACAGCATGACTGGAATTTCAGTACGAATGCCCCTTCATATGTATAAACAGATCTAGTCAAGAATTTTTTGTACTTTGCAAGTTCACTGGCAGCACAAATTAAAACAAGTTCAAAAGTGAAAGGAAGGGATAGGTGAGTCATAAATTTGTGAAGGAGAAAGTATAGCCAGCAGATGTCATTATGCTATATACTAAATACAAGGTTATTATTATGGACTTTGAACTATACTGAAGGACATAACTAACTCAAAAATGTAGATGCTGTTGGCCTCAGGTTTTTCACAGTGCATTGACATTTAATTTTTACAGCAAATACTCAAATGATTTTACTTTCCTGTTAAGCAGCACTGATTCTACATATACTGGCATAGACAGGGAATGAGTAAGATATTTCTAAATATTGAAGAGGGCAGTGGCACAACTGTGTTGTTGTTGTTTATGCAGACTATTTTTAGGCCTGTGATTTCCTTAAAACACACCAGCCATCCAAGAGCAGTAGCAACAGAGCAGAACTGGAGAAGGAATTATAAGAATACACATATCTTAGGTAAAACAAGCCTGGATGCCATAAACATTCCTTCTGTCTCAAAACAAGTCCCTACATTGAACAACTGGCCAGCATTCAAAAACAAAATATGTGTAGAGAATAGCCTAACACTGTGCAGCAACTGCTAAGCAAGCCCAAGGTATTCCCAGCTAGAGTATTTTCTCACTTGAAGGTGTGCATGGGTGATCATTTCTGCACAGTAGATGAAGTAGGCCCCAAAGCGGCAAAGAGCGTAAAACATGCAGAAAATGTGACAATCATATTCTTAGCAGAAGGCTCTCCACAAATTATGTATCTCCAGCAACTTTGAAGATGTTATTTGAAGAAGTTTCATACTGGCCTGGCACACTATCATGGTCATTATCAACGGAGGAATTACTTAAATGCTCTGCTGTTGCAATTTTCCCTTCTAAACCCAGAGTGATAGCATCTTTCAGAAGTACCTTTGTTTGGTATTCTTGAATGTCAGGTGTTGGACTAGATGACGATGTCCCTTGTAGTCCCTTCCAGCTCTTAAGATTATATTATCTCTCTTTATTTTTATGATGAATTAAGAAATAAATCTGCAACTATATTAAACTATAATGCCTTTTAGGTAATAACGTAGTCCATTTCAGTAAGCTAATGACCACTTTATGCACTCGGGATGGCCGAAATGCAAGACATTCTCTGGTGAGAGCATTTCCCTCAATGTCCCAGTTGCCACTTCTGTGACCTCTGAGGGAAAGAAGAGTTGCTGGGAACAGATCCATCATGTCTGAGGTCTGGTAGCTGGTAAAAACCATTGACTCCAACATCCAGTGGAAAGTGACCACAGAGTAATCCTGGAGGACCTAGAGATTCCTAGAGAGATGTTCTCTAAGGTAAAAAAAAGTCTGGAAAAAAACCCTTGTAGGTGACTGTTTATTATTTATTTATTTATTTATTTACTTTACTTGTATCAGCCCGTAGGCGACTCAGTGCGGTTTACAGCCAGGACAATATACAAAGTGCACAACATTAGCATTTAAAACAGTAACTAAAGCAACTACATCGATATAGCAATACAACAGTACATCAATATAACATCTATACATCTATATAACTAATCCATCACGTCTCATCAGTAAAGTCATAATCCGATCTCCTCGTCCATTATTCCAAGTTCCAAGATCAATCAGTTGGTTGCACTGCTTAATTAAACGCCTGTTCAAAGAGCCAGGTCTTTACTCTTCTCCTGAACGCCAGCAGGGAGGGGGCCGATCTAACGTCTGCGGGAAGGGCGTTCCACAGCCGAGGGGCCACCACTGAGAAGGCCCTGTCTCTCGTCCCCGCCAAGTGTGTGAAGCTGGCGGGATCGAGAGCAGGACCTCCCCAGACGATCTTAATGTCCTAACTGGTTCATAGGAGGAGATGCGTTCGGACAGCTAGGTCGGGCCAGAACAGTTAAGGGCTTTAAAGGCTAAAGCCAGCACTTTGAATTGTGCCCGGTAGCAAATTGGCAGCCAGTGGAGCTGGCGCAGCAGAGGAGTGGTGTGCTCCCTGAGTGCCGCTCCTGTTAACAACCTGGCTGCCGATCGTTGGACCATTTGTAGCTTCCGAGCAGTCTTCATAGGCAACCCCACGTAGAGATCGTTGCAGTAGTCTATACGGGATGTAACCAGCGCGTGGACTACCGTGGCCAAGTCAGACTTCCCAAGATACGGGCGCAGCTGGCGCACAAGTTTTAATTGTGCGAATGCTCCCCTGGTCACCGCCGAAACCTGGGGTTCCAGACTCAGCGATGAATCCAGGATCACACCCAAGCTGCGAACCTGCGTCTTC